AGCAGTGGTGCCTGAGCAACTAAAAGTTGTAGAAAGTCCTAATTCTAAAGAACTGCTGCAAATTCTATGATCTTGCATGCCTGCAGGAATGAAGCTGCCCGGCCCCCATTTCCGGAGGAAGGCTTGATTCTGAGCCTCTGGAGTCCGAAAGGACTCCAGAGCCTGGAGGGAAAACTGAAAATAGGACTCTGCTCACAAGGTGGGGAGGATATGTGCCATTTAAAAATCCTTGTACATTACAGATAAGCCTTTCATCCCCTCTGACTAATCCATAGATCTGAATGACAACCAAGTTCGTTAACTCCTTATCTTACCTTTGGTGGTTTCACTTTCACGGATAAGAAAGGTACCTCTCGGGTTTCCAAAGGACAAAAGCTGTCGCTCAGCATCTTTTCGGCCAAGTTTTCCAAAGTACCACCTTTAAATGAGATCAAGGGAAGGAAGCATTTTGTAAGGATCATTTACAAAAATGTAATAGCCATCCTCCTCACCCCTGATCGCATCCGTAGCCTCTCCCTGTACGTGTCTTCCTAGCCTCATCTAGTTCCCTTTCAGTCTGCTCCTGATCCCATCCCTACTCTATCTCTTTCACTCTTTGAAGAAACAAAAATCAGACTTGAGTTGTGGGCGATTTCCCTTCCCTTCCAGAGGTGACAAGAACTGGTTTGTGTTAAAACTGCCACCTGCATTCACAAAAAGAGAAATCTAAGACCTTGTTTTGAAATGGCAACTGCAGGAGACCCTTCCCACGCCCATCTACAAGACCCAGGCATTTCTGAGCATAATTATGCTCAGAAATAATGAAACATAGCCTTAGTCTACATAAAGATCATTAATCAAGCATTAAAAAAAAGAGTCAGAATGGATAAAGAACAAAGACATATTTTCAGTAACTTTGTACCTATAACAACTTTGAAAAAAATTGTCAAGACTACCCCGAATTGAGATGACTCCTGCCCTTGGATGCTTGCTTCCATGCTCTTCCTGGCCAGCAGGTGTGAGGACGTGGGTAAATGAAAGGCGCTGGCGTAGCAGATGGGTGGGCATCTGCGCATGTGCGCTCGGCACAGCTGCAGGGACAGGTCACTAGGCGCAGTCAATGAGCACGTCCTTACAAATGACTGGCGTTGCAGACGTCTCCTATCCTCCTTGTGACGACACTCTGGTGTCATGTGAGAAGGCATCACATCCAGTCACCTCACAACCTCTGCTATTTATCTTTTTCCTTCCCTTCCACTCTCCAGCCCTAACCATGGCCCGGCAATTACCTAACGTCTCTGCACGAGGTGCTGAATCCAAGGCAGAATTCAGGAGCACCCCATCGGAATCTGTGCCCAGAAACAATTTTAAAATATTCAACTGTGAAAGGATTCAGTTTCTAAAGTGAAATTTTAATTCATTATACTTGAACATAGCTATTATGTGTTCACTGTCAAATTCTTTTGTGAATGAAAGAGGCTCACTGAAGATAAGAAAAGATACGCTGCAAGCGAGTTCCTCAGTGACTTTTAAAGGCACCGGACTGTGTAACGATCCTAATTTAGCACTAGGCGGTAGAAAGAGAATCACAACAATTATTTATGAGAAATGACTTTCTGGGTTTGCATCGGTCACCCAATGAAAATGCAGTATAAATGCGAACAGTGGTGAAAAAAGAGCTGTTAGAACAATGGATGGAACTAAAACAATAGCATTTTCAGATAATGGTAATTAATTGCCTATGTAAAACCATATGCATTATCTTCTTAAAACACTAATTTATTCTTTAAAAACAAATTATTTAAAAAATTCATTACATTATACATATATATAACTTAAATATATAGTTCATAGGTTCCCAGTTAAATAAAAATAATGCCACATTTTAGTGGTACCTTTTATTCTGAAAGAACACAAAGATGTTTGCAAATCTGCCCTAAAATAAAAATTCAATACAAATTCCTTTATTCTCTGATGATAAAACACACTCACTAGGAAAAAAAAGGAGTGCAGAACCACTGAGTATTTGAGAATGGGGAACAAAAGCGATCGTCTTGGAGCAAATATAAAGGAATTTAAAGCAAGATGGTGATCCAGTTGGGGATTTGGCTGGGGTGTGCAGTCTAATCCCCCTTGCCGTGCTTAAACAAATCCAGAGCAAAATGCAATATCAGAGCCAAAGGTTGGGCCTCGTGTCTGACTTTCCTTGACTCCCTTACTGGTAAGGCAAGACTACCAGAACAGGCAGATCCCCAGGGTGTCAGGGAGGAGGACAGGTCCCCAAGTTTGGGAGTCATGGGCCAGTTTTCTTTCCCTTAGTTCAGAAATGAGGGCCCTCACACAAACCACTCTGATAGCTCTCCCTTTTGGAAGTGCCCATGAATCTCCACAGGTGAGGAGAAGGAATGATAGCTGTCCCTTCTAGAATCCCCTCAGCCTACTGACCATCTTCCCAAACTGGTACCAAGTGAAATCCTTGGTCCAACTAACTGCTAGTCACAATTTACTATCAAAGAAACCAACAAAGACCCCAACTCAAAGGAAAGGAGCATCTGAAATGCATCATCAGAGGATTTCCCGAGTTGTGGTACATGCTGTATGTGAGATACTTCTATGTGGGGCATGGAAGGTATGTCTTCAGTACCCCCTTAATATTTCTGATTACACTGAGAAAGAAAATGTCAAGCTGATGTTTAATAATTATTTGCCCCCCTGGCCCCCTCCCACCATTCTCTTTCCCTCCCTACTCCCATTCTTTCTCCCTCCCTCTCTCCTTTTTTTTTCCAGCAGACTATAGGTTTAGAACTTTGGGTTCACAGTAATAATACATGCTCTGGCCAGAACTTCATCACATTTTCCTGATTAGTTTCTATCTATGGCAAGTAATACTGGGTTTTCACTAGGGTTCTGATATAAAGTTCCCTTTTGAAATAAGTATGTTTTTAAAAAACAGGTGTAAAGAAAAATATTAAGTTAATAATAGTACAAGTGTTACATAGATATGGCAAAAACCACAGCACGATGCCTGGGGAAACAGGGCATCACCGCATTCTCTCAACCCTGAAATCACTCTAGTGAATTTCTTCTCCCTCCAGCACAAAGTTAATGGCATTTTATTGTGACAGCTAACTTTTAAAAGCAAGTAGTTGAGTGAAAGCAACAAAACAAAACATACTCTTCTGCCTGGATAGAGTCAACTGGAGCCACATAATTGCTGGGAATGTAACCAGTCTCTCCGGTTGTTAAGGAGCGGGCTTCCCACCAATCTCCTTCCCTGCAGAGAACAAAGAGAAAAGGAAGTGAATGTGTTGACCATTTCAATGTTCTGCAGTTAGACTCAATGCTGTATGAGTATAAGACCATCTCCTAGTCATTCCACTGCCTGATTTCTCCAAACTCCAACATAGCCCTTTCTAAGGGTCACATGGCTACAATCTGAGTCAACTGTGACTTGAATCCCATGCTGTTTCTCATTTCTTATTTTATTTGCAAATTAATAATGTAGGACCCTGGCCATGAGAGAGCTCTCTTGGGGTGGAGGGGCATTTTGCTTGGTAAGTGTCCCCAACTCGGACAGAGGGGGAAGGGAACCCAGCCTCAGGCTACTTTAGAAAAACCCTGTAACCACAAAAACAAAATGGTAGTTATGTGAGGTGAAGGATGTGTTATTGTGGTAAACATTCACAATATATACGTGTGTCAACCCATCACATTGTACACACTGTACACCATACACATTGTACACAACCCATCACAACCTACACAATGTTATGTGTCAGTTATATCTCAGCAAAGCTAGAAGAAAAACAAAGCATGCATTAACACTACTAATTTAGCTAAGTCTCTATTTCGGCTCACATTGAGGTAAGCAGCAACCTGTGGTATTGCTGGAGAGATGCAAACTGTTTGCTGGTTCTAGTGTTTTTTGTTAGCCATTAACAGATGTATCAGAAAAGAAAAGAAAAACAGATCATCTGCAGATCATCTGAGAAAGGAAGCCTGCTAGGAGGCCCAGGAAGGAATGAAAGCCTACTCCTAATACCTGCCTTACTTGCTCTCAAGACAATGGGTAGCATGATAAGGACAACAGGTTAAGCCTCGTTCAGAAGTTTTCAACCTGAGGTTATTTCATCGACTACTGACAGCACTGACCTGAGTCTGGTGGGCAGGAGAGGAAGGGCGGGTACAGCTGTGTGTGTACAGGTGTGTGTGGGGGGGTGCGGGTGGGGACAAAAACTGGCCTGGCACTGAGGCTCTGAGTCTCACCATTCTGTGAGACCCAGTGTTCCAGGTGATAGCCTGTCTCAGTAGCAAGAGGGGGGGAGGGCTCTCAGAACCGCGGACAGAAGGATGTGAAACGGGGGCTTGTACCACTACTCACAGCTCAGGACAAACGGGTCAGTTCAATGGCTAGAGTTCGTGTTAGGCTCACGGCAGTGGACGTGTGACAGAGAGCAGGGACGGAGTGTGTGACTCTCCCCACACACATATGTGGGGCTGCAGCCCTGCCACGCGCGCGTCCACAGAACCCTGCACCAGCCTGGGGCCAGGGGTGTGAGGGCAGGGGAGGAGGCGAGGTCACTGCTCCTGAGCATACCGAGACCTGTCAGACTGCTCTTCAGCAGGGGCCCGGCGCCTTCTCTCCTTCCATTTTCTGGTCCTTGGAGGCAGCAAGAAAAACCCCTAGCCTTTTTTTTTTTTTTTTTAAATCATTTTGTGGCTGGGCTCTGTGTCAAAACCCTCAGCCAGGGAAGAAAACGTGTTGGCTTTTGGCCCCGGTCAAGATCTTCCTCAGGCTGATGGGATTAGGTAGAGAATAATCAGCCTCTGTATTAACAGAAGCCTTACTCGAGAGCCCCATTCTCCAAAGACCGACTCTCTGAGCAAGCTGACTGATGAGCAACAATTCTAGATAAAATTTAATAAAACAACAGGCAAATGGTGACAAGCCCGCACGTACTCTGGGTGTGGCTGTGGGGCAGAGCTTGGCGGCACAGGTGACACAAAATAGCCCATGAGAAAACGGGGTGCTGGCAAAGGCTTTTAAAAACTTATGTCTTTTTTTTTTTTAAGATTTATTTATTTTAGAGGCAGGGAGGGGCAGAGGGAGAGGGAGAGAAAGAAGCTTAAGCAGGGTCTGTGATGCAGGGCTCCATCCCACAACCCTGAGATCAGGACCTGAGCCGAAACCAAGAACTAGACACTTAAACAACTACACCACCCAGGTGCCCCTAAAAACTTATGTTTTAATTCATTTTTCAGTCTTTCTTTTTTCATTACACAAATTTAAACAGATAAATCAACTAAAACAGAGAGATAACTTTTCATACCCAGGAAGTCCTTTGTTAATAAACCTTATTTTTATCTTATGTCCAGATTTGTCTTAGGAAATGACTGATACATGCCAGGGGATATATGTGTATATGAACACCTATGAACCCACCACTCAACTCAAGAGCTGGGTCTTCACTGATTGTGTGGAATCTACTCTGCGTGGCTCCCCTATTGGATTCCTCTGCCTTTTGGCCTCAACTCATGAAATTAAAATTGTTAACCTTTGAACAGTTTGTATTGGTTTCATTTCCATGTCCTCTAAAAGAAATACATGCAGTTGTTAACTATATCATCTAGGAACACATGTGGAAGTTAATTTTTTTTGAACACATGCTAAGAAATGGCTTTGGAGGCTTTTAAGATAGCAGTGTTTACTGCTCTGAAATTCCACCAGATGGAGACATTTCATCATAAAAAAATTAACAATACCCATCATCTCCCCACCTTCTCCTTTCTCTTTCCCTTACTCCATCCACCTCCTAAACCCCACACCCAGGAAATGCTCCAAAATAGTAAAAAATTAAGAGCTTTCAGCAGAAGCTTACCTTTAATTGCAACCTTTATCATGTTAGTTCTGATTTAAATTAAGAAGACCGTCTAGTATCAATGTAGGGGTACATGGAAATGTCACCTGAGGCAGGAAGCCAATACATTTTGCTGGGACAAGCCCAGTCTTATTCAGATGATCTGGGATTTTTTTTTTTTTTTTGAAGATTTTATTTATTTGATAGAGAGACAGCCAGAGAGGGAACACAAGCAGGGGGAGTGGGAGAGGGAGAAGCAGGCTTCCCACAGAGCAGGGAGCCTGATACAGGGCTCAATCCCAGGACCCTGGGATCATGACCTGAGCAATAGGCAGACGCTTAATGACTGAGCCACCCAGGTGCCCTGTCAGATGATCTGGGATTAATCAAGTATGGTTGACCCTTGAACAACGTGGGTTTGAACTGCATGGGTCCACTTATATGCAGATCTTTTCCCATAAAAACAGTACAGTACACGTACTCTCTTCCTTAGGATTTTCTTAATAACATTTTCTTTTCTCTAGCTCACTTTATTCTAAGAACACCGTATATATAATACATATATGAAATATGTGTTGACTGTTTACATTATTGGTAAGGCTTCCAGTCAACAGTAGGCTATTAGAAGTTTTTGGGGAGTCAAGGTTATATGCAGTGGGGGGAGCTGGTGCCCCTAACCTGTCCATTGTTCAAGGGTCAACAACAATTTCCATTCCAAATCCAGTATTAATATCTCATTTTGATATTGGCACCTAAATAGTTTAGTACAGATTAGAATCCAACTATCAGCTCATTCTAAAGTCATGTATCAGGAATTCATGATTTTCTCTTAAGTGACTCCATTAATCTCACAAGGGTTTTTAGTTACTCATGAGAAAGATAAAATCCTTTTCTTTTTTGAGGCCACCCAGGCCACCCACTTTTTCCATCAAAGGCGATATGAGGTGACAAGGAAACAATGTATTATGTAGTAAGCCTCACAGGTTGGGCCCAGAGAGGCTGGTACAGACTCAAAACATCCCTCAAAAAAAATCTTTTGAGCAAATGAATAAATCATCTTTTTAATACATTAGAAGTCCAATTCACCCACAAATAATACTCTTTACAAATCATTCACCTTGATTTAGGAAAACAATCTTTACTATGCTTTTTACTTCTTAAATTATTGTGAGTAATTAACATTATTAAAACTGCACCTTAAAAAAACCTGTTCTTACAGTTCAGATATTTCATTAATTCAGTGTTGGTGAGATTTTCTTTAACTGTTATCTTGCTTTGACTCAAATATATGATTTAAGGCTCTGGTTTAGAATAACTTTTAAGTTTTTATAAGAGCTTCCCCTATTCCTCTAATATAATACTTATTAAAAGAGCCTGTTCTCAATCCCCAAAATTGCTCATTAGGTTTGTTGGCCCCTGATCCAGCCAGGAAGTGGCATTTGCACATAGAAGTCAGCCTGATCCGTTGAGCTGTGGAGTTTTATTATAAATGCTATATTCTTTCTCAGTTTGGTTACTGCCATCTTACTGTATGAGAGCATATCCATAACAATTTTATCATATGCATAGATGGGAGTCTAACCTAGCATTTCTCCTTATCAAGAGGAAAAGAACTTTAAAGGAGTCACTACTGTAGGCACTATTCTACTCTGTGTAACATGGTTACTATATTTTAAAGAGTCAGTGTTTTTAGGTGGTAAATCAGTAAGGATTTCCCATTTCATGTGAAAATAGGGAATAAAATAGATGAATTTCCATAGTTTGTAAAATGGGTTCAAGTTTCATAATGTCCAAATGCACTACACTGAGCACTTGTAACAGGTTGGTGAAGAACCCTTAGCCCATGCTGGGCAGCAGTGCCCACTGGCTCTAGGCACAAGCACACGCGTGTACCACATAAAGGCCAGCCCTGCCACCACCGGTTTCTGCCTCTGGATGGGGTAAGGGGTGGGAGGACACATGCACTAGATGGTGCAGCAGCTGCCCCAGGGAGAGCAGAGCGCTATCCCCTACCCCTCCCCCCAAACCCCCCTCCTGCCCCCCCAGCAGAGGAGAGCCCGGAGCTGGGAGGGGCTGGGGGAGGGGAAGGAGCCACAGGCCATCTGGTTCTCTATTACTGCTTTGTCTGTCCTTCATGATTTCCTCTTCCCTGTTATTACCCCTTATTTCCAGATACTGTATTCGTTGTAAAAACCTTATTTTTTCCCCCATAACCTTGGAAAAGGGCATTTAAATGGCATGTAGGATGAGGAATTCCACTGGCAAGAAGGAAGAACATTAAACAAGGGAAAAAAACCTTCGTAACATTTTCTTCGAAGAGAACAAGGCCAGAGGCTCGAAGCCTGTAAATATTAGAGGCCATGCATGCAAATCATAAAATACCGACTGAGATAGACTGGATCTTCCTGGAATGTTTCTCCAAAATTTCAATTGATTGCCATTGTAGAACCTATCCAGATTAACAAAGGAAGAAGTCACGAATTTGACTTTGGCAAGGACTGGCTTTCCAAGTTGCTCAGGATCCGATGTGTAGATCCCCCTGCAGTGTGGACAAAACCCGCAGAGGAACAGCTGTGTGGTACTTCCTACTACTCCTTAGTTCTCACCTTTCAGAAGCTGGTTAGAAGTTCTAACCGACTTTGGGACTGAGAGAATATTACACGGAATGGGGAGGGGAAGTGGAGGGTATTTCGGAATTCAAAACAAGTAGACTCTGAGAAGCATTCATCAGAGAATCAAAATAACAATAAGCAATCATAAATCAGAAGAGATCAAAGCCAAATTCCCTTCTCCCCCACCTCCCAGCCAACCTTCCAAACTTTCATGTATCTTGCAAGGTTCAGTCCCTTCTGGGCCTTTCCGAGACCAAACCCGACACAGTACTCAGGATGCCATCCCCACAACCTAACCCTTGGCTCTGCCACCTGCTAGCTCCTCTGTGCACCTGGGTAGCTCCCTAACTTGAGCCTCTGGCTCCTCAAATGTCAAAAGATGACAGTGAGGCACAAGGCAGACAAATGCCATGAAGAATAAATAAGAACACTTGCAACTTAGTATGTGGCTGGCACACGGGAGCCTTCAATAGATGGCAACTGTTTACTACTTAAAAAAAATCTCTGTGGCTGTGAGGGGCCTTGTAGGGGGCAGGCCACGTTCTTGATCTGGGGGCTGGTTGCACAGGCATGTTCAGTTTGTGCAAATACAGCAAACTGTACACTTGCAAAACATTGTGGTAAAACACGCATAGCAAAATTTACCATTTCAACCATTTTTAAGTGTAAAGTTGGGCAGCACTAAGCTCATTCACGTTGTTGCACGACCACCACCACGCACATTCTGATATGTGCGGTTTTCTGCAGGTATTTAAATAGTTAAAAAAAACCCCACCCATACCCATTCATGATGACAATAATAATTTAAAAAATCCCAACAACCCTGTGGCTACTATGTAGACACAGTTTTCTGAGATCCAGAAGAGTGACTGGCCTCTTGTGGGAGGAATCTAGCTCCTGTCCTTGAAAGGTGGTGTATTCTGAGAGTTGGGGGTGTCCCAGGGAAGGGGTGGACTTTCTAAGGAGGCAGTTTTCAGGTCTGAGGGAGTTCCCTGTTAACAATGACCACTTCTCTTTTCTAGGATGGGGATGCCCTGGGGTGCCTCTAGCTCCCCTTGCTTGCCTCTCCTCCTGCTGGAGCTCTGGGGAAAGCTCAAGAGCCAGGCTTTGACTGGTCCTTCTGCCCTCATGGTTTGCTCAGGGAATGGAGTACAGAGCAAGTGGGGCTGGCAGCATAGGAGAACTTCCTGGTGGGCTCTCAGCCTTGGGGTGGCATTCCTCCCTGGTCCCTGCGGAGCACTCACAAGGAAAACCTGAGGTACAGGGGAGAAGGCCTGACTTGCTGATGGGGGCATCACCATTTTCTTTTTCTTTCTTTTTTTTGGGGGGGGGAGGAGGGCAGACGGAGAGAGAGAATCTTTTTTTTTTTTTTTTTAAAGATTTTTTATTTATTCATTCATGAGAGACAGAGGGAGAGAAAGAGAGAGAAGCAGAGGGAGAAGCAGGCTCCCAAGGAGCAGGGAGCCCGATGCGGGACTCGATCCCAGGATCCCGGGATCATGACCTGAGCCGAAGGCAGACGCTTAACCATCTGAGCCACCCAGGCGCCCAGAGAGAGAGAATCTTAACCAGGCTCCATGCCCAGCACAGAGCCCCACATGGGCTCCATCTTACGACCCTGAGATCATGACCTGAGCCAAAACCAAGAGTCGGGTGCTTAACTGACTGAGCCACCCAGGTGCCCCTCCTTTTTTTTTTTTTAAGTAAACTCTACACTCAACGTGGGGCTCGAACTCACGGCCTCAAGATCAAGAGACTCATGCTCTACTGACTGAGCCCCCACCACCATTTTCTTTGAAGCCAGAAGTTTTTGGGCAGGCACACTGCCTTAACCTAATAGAGGCAATATTTAAAAACTACAGGGAAATATGCCTATACATAATGCCATATATACCTATATTTACTCTTCTTATAGGTATTAAATGTAGAATTTGGTTCTATCCTTACAGTGAGTGATTCTGACCCTTGAAACTTCCCCACTGCCTATTTAACTGTTGTTCCTACTGGTCACATCTAAAATGCACGCATTGTAGTCATTCACAAGTGGGCGAAGTCCCTTCTCCTTCCTTCTCCCTCACAAAGATTTCAGTCACTCGCGGATTTTCACTCTGGGGAAACGCCTCCACAAGCTTCACCAATCAGAATATTTAGCAGTTTTGAAAACAGAAGGAACTTGTTGCCAGCTGTAAATGAGGGCTCAGCTAGTGCAACTTAGGAAATGCAACAAAACAAAAAAACCCATCTCAAGGCAGAGAGAGGGTAATGTGGATAGCCAAGCTTTGTGCCAATCATCTGAAAATGCAGATCTGCAGGGGGTAATACTGGAACTTTTCCAACCTGTAAACCGAAAGCATCAACTCTGCTACTATGAGGGTCCCCCAAAAGCTCCTTGGACACCAGTGCCAGAAAATACTGCACTGGCTCATCAACTCTTCATTTCTGAAGTTCAACTGCTACACGCTAATGAATTTACCAAGTGTTCTCTTAGCATTTCAGAGACTAAAAAGGCACAGGCTGGTAACACAAGTATTCTTTCCCAATCTGAAAGATATGCATACTTCCCCGTCCCTCCCCGAACTTACGAGCTGTTCAATATTTGGAATTTCTCTCCTTTGTGAAAACTCAGGTCATCTTCTGTCCGTGCTTCATAATCATAAAGGGCTACAAACAGGGTCACTCCTGACAAAACAAAATCAGAAGGGGAGAGATTATTACACAAGGGGAAATTAATTCCAAGAAATGAGATCTTCACTAAAATCTCATTCTCAAAATCTACATCTAACCATAACATGGTGTGGTGGTGATGTAATTAATGTGTGAAACCAGGGTTGCAGGGCTGAAGTTATGCCTTGGTCTTTGTAGGGGAAGCGTTATTTGATCTGACTGAAGCCTAGAGCTGGAGGTGCACTTCTCTCTGAGTCCTCGGGAAGAGGCAGATGTTAATATCATGTCCACAACCAAGGGGCAGCAGTGGTGCTACGGTTCAGATCTGTGAGGCCTGCAGCAATTAAAGATACAAATTCCCTTCCTCTCAAGAGCCCAAGTTAGGTTCAGGGTAAAATAGATCACAGTAATGGAGAATGTAACAGGAAACTCCTTCTGCAGCCTGGGACTGAGAAGACCCTCTCCATAAATGCTCACCCCAATTAGAGGATGTTTTGCTTTTGGCATCTGCAATTGCTCTGGGGACTCTGTCTCTCCTACCACAAATTTGCCTATCCTTGCATTGATCTGTAGTCCTTACTCCTCCTCATAACCACCCTGCATTTTCTCATCTCGTGGACTCCCCACAGAGGCCCTTCCTGCTCTGCACAAGTCTGCTATCGACAACAGAAAATCTCCAGCATCCCAATTGGCTTAGGACCTCCTTCATATAGTGGGTAGAATTCTAAGGTAGTCTCTCTGAGTCCTACCTCCTGGTACTCATGCTCTTGTGTAATCCCCCTCCCCTGAGTGTGGGTGAACCTAGTGACTTGCTTCTAACCAACAGGACATGGCAAAGGTGATGGGATGTCCCATAAGTGATTAGTCTTCAAAATGGATTACGACTTCTGTCTTCCCTGCAGACGCTCTGTACTGCCACTTTGGCCTGAACACTTTGATGAAGCAAGCTGCCATGCTGGAAAGACACACATGACAAAGAACTGAGGGTGGCCTCTGGCCAACAGCCAATGAGGAAACTGAGTCCTGCCAGCACCACAACGAGCTTGGTAGCAGATCCTTCTCAGTTGGGCTGTGAGGTAGTGACTACAGCCCGGCCAACACACCTTGATTGCAGCCAGTGAGAGGCTCTGAAATGGGGGATCCAGTTAAGTCATTCCTGGTTTTCTGGCCCCCAGGAACTGTGAGATCCTAAATATGTATTTTTTTAAAGCTGCTAAGTTTGCGGTAATATGTTATGCAGCAATTGTTAACTAATACATTCCATTTCTCTGCTCTCTGGCTCCTCATTTTGATCTCTGCACACTTCAAAGTGCCTGCTGTGGCCTAAAGAACACACAACATGGATTCCACTCTTTAGCAAACTGCCATTTTGCTGTGTCCGTACTTCCAAGGGAGCAGATGGGCCTGTGGGGCTATTTGCAAACCAGAGAAGGAGGTGGGGCTTGTTTTTCCACCCGATCCCAAGTGGGACTTCCTGTAGGAGAACTGGCGTTCTGAGGGTCTGACCATGCAAAGCAGCAGGGCTCATTTGGCAACTTTAAATTTCTTTGAAAGGTTGGAAAAGAGACTGGCTTAAAACAAAGAAGTGGAAGGCTGTAAGGTCATGCTTATTCTCACTGAACACTCTATTAACAGATTCCTTTTGTGACATAATTTGAAGACAAACCCAAGCTCCACTGTGTGGGAGACAAGGAGCATGAGAACGGGCACTTCCAGTCCCCACTCTCACCCCGCGTCAGCCGGCAACGTCTCCCTGGGCTATTTACCTTTTAAGGATGGAGAGGAGAGTCAAAGGAGGTCACAGGGGCACACGGACACTGCTCTTGGCCTTAAAGCACTAAAAGCAGTGGTGGAGAGACAGACATGCACATATAACAAAGCCAAATAATACAAGGCAGAGAAATCTGCCAACATTTGGGAGTACTACGTTTTAACTTCCAAATTTTAAAAGGGACCAGGAAGCCTCTTATACTAAGATTGTCCCTGACAATGAATCATGGAACTCTACATCAAAACTAATGATGTAATGTATGGTGATTAACATAACATAATAAAATAAAAAAAAAATGTAAAAAAAAAAAAAAGATTTGTCCTTGACTACAGTAGAGACTCCCATGTTCAAGGCAAGTATTCCTTTCTGGTGACTTTATGAATGATACCTGCAGACACAGGGATCCGTACCCAGCATTCATGAATGAATGAACAAGGTCAATGTCTGCATCAGCAGAATTCAGTCTCGTTGGCAAAGAACTCAGCAGGCACGGGAAGTGTGTGCTGGTGCATTTTTGGCTCTTTTTTTCCCCTTCTGCATCCTCAGAGACAGACTTCCATAGAATGCCTCTTTCCTTCTTCCCTCCATCCCAGGTGCCTTCCAGGAAGGTAGGAAAGTATACTAACATTTATGAGCTCATGCGAGGCCTACTTTAAAGAGAAAGTTGGATCCACTACAACACAATGATACAATGCCCAAAGCTCTGGGTCAGGTCCCCTGGATATAACTACACTGCCGTGTTGCATGCAAAGGGAAAAAAAACCCTGCTAATGTCTCAGTAGTGCCAGCTCCCCAGGTAAAAAGGCACAGTGGGTCCTTATATAAGACTTTTGCTCCCAGATGAGCCAAGAGCACAAAGGTTGATGTATATTTCTTTAAACTTTCCTAATAAACAAAGCAGTCTTGGAACAAATAATGTCAAATATCTAGTTACCATGATTCACATGCTGGGAGATGATTTGGAAGGCTAAGGATGCATGAGATAACTTTCAAATATTTTGCAAAACATATGTCTGAGAATGTATGCCAGATATTTTACAAAGTATTAGCTAAGTCAGCAAATGTACATGGCAGTAAAACAGAGCCTCGTGGTGGGAAAGAGAAGGAAACTTAAAAAAAAAAAGAGAAGGATTCCTTAAGGATACGTAACATTTGATTTGATTTGATTTTTTTTAAATATTTTATTTGTTTATTTATTTGAGAGAGAGAATGAGATAGAGAGAGCACATGAGAGGGGGGAGGGTCAGAGGGAGAAGCAGACTCCCCGCTGAGCAGGGAGCCCGATGCGGGACTCGATCCCGGGACTCCAGGATCATGACCTGAGCTGAAGGCAGTCGCCCAACCAACTGAGCCACCCAGGCGCCCCATAACATTTGATTTTAAAATACAAGAGATAAACGATACACTTGAGGATTGATAAACTCCGTCATATGGAAGATGATGGGAAGATCAGAAAGAGAATTAATGAAGATGAATGGCCAAAAACAAATGCTGCCAAATGTCCCCACTGGCTGGGAGGTGACAGGCAGGCTGACGATTAGGAAGATGAGGGAGAAGGTGCTACCCCCTGCAAAGTGGCTCTTAACGGGGGGATGGGAGGAAAGTGCACTGATATCTAGAGGACTCAAAACATACATTCTCAGATCCAGTCCCGGAGCTTCTGATTCAAAAGATCTGGGATGGGATTCAGTATTTTGAAAAAGCTGCTAGTTATTCTGAGTCAGCCAGCCAAGGTTGAGACCACTGATTGGCCTAGAGTACCTCAGTAGAAGCTGTTATCTCCTAACCCATGCAGAATCCTCCCAGAGCAGCTACTTGGGCATCACCTAGCACCACTGTAGCCAGCATTTCATTTGTCCATCAAGCCCTGTTTGTTTTGTTTTAATAGCCCTTCATCTGGCAGTGGGTAGATGGAGACTGATGATGAAAAACTTAATGTTAAATCCTTAGTTAAAGGGAGCCGACTGGAACACAAATGTTCAATTGACAAAAGAATGAAGAAGAGCCTAATTCTTACCCGTTCCTCCCCTGGTACGCAAGGTCCCGGTATGTGATGAAGAGTTCACACCCCCAAAGACGGTGAGTCCTTGGCCCCCGGCCGCGTGGAAGTTGTTGTAGTTGGGGATGGAGGTCACGCCGAAGCTGGGGTAGTGCTGCGGGGTGGGGTCTGTGCCATAGCGGTACCCGGAGCTCTGGGTCAGGCTGCCGTCCCTCTCCTCCGTCAGTTTTGTTGCTTCTTTATCCTTACATTGCACACAGCCCATTATCTAAATTCCTGCCGAAAACAAAAGGGAGGCACGTGAACTTGCATGCTCCTTAGCTGCTGGGTTGCTGGGTCATTTATAAGGCTCGCCCTTGGCTATTTCAGGCCTAAAAGGGAAGGAGGAAAAGCAGCGGCTAGGGCTGATGGCTAGAAGCGACCTCACGGCCCTTGACGATCACATTTGTTCCCCGTGTGCTCTGGGTGACAGGAGCCACACGGCGTATGGTCGCCAGGCAGCAAGGTCCTCACATGCTGCCCCTTAAAATCCTCGAACATTACACACGTGCTTAAAGATAGCCCAAGACTGCTTATTATGCTTTTCTTTAGTCATCTAAAAGAATAATGTATGCTCTAGGAAGTGAGTCCATGCAACATTAGAACAAAAACCTCCATTATGGCAGGAAAAAAAAAATCGAAGCAAGAGGGTGGAGGAATGCTGGAAAAGCCAGAAGACAGCTCCTGAACAGCTCACCATACTTATTTTCTCATGGGTACCCATTCTTCAGGCACACACCTGGTAAATTTTAAGTAGTAAGATGACGATAAGTATCAAAATTAAGAAATCATTGCTGGATGAAAAATAAAATTAGGGGCGCCTGGGTGGCTCAGTTGGTTAAACGTCTGACTCTTGCTTTTGGCTGAGGTAATGATCTCAGGGTTGAGAGACTGAGCCCCATGTTGGGCTGGGCGTGGAGCCTGCTTCAGATTCTCTCTCTCCCTCTGCCTCTTCCCCCCTCTAAAAAAAAAAATTAAAAAATAAAATAAAATTGGTGGAAACTAAGAGGTCTGGGTATATTTGCAGGATGTCATGATAGCTTACAGTAACAAAATCATTTTCAGCTGCTAATTAACTTTCCAAATTTCCATTAGCTTTTGACATCTTTCAAAAATACTAAAAAAAATCAATCTCATGTTCTAGAGTTAGTGGTGGACTAAAAACTCAGGTCACTGTCACCCCACCCTCCTCCAACCTACTTCTCCTGTGCTTATCGTAGAAATGCCACCATCCATGACTGACTTGCTCAAGTCAGAATCCTGAGAAGCAACCTCATTTGCTTCCTTTTTACTTCTCACTCTCCCCGTCTCACACTCTACTATCCAAACATGCCGAACTTCTCAGTTACTTAAAGGTTCAATTTTTTCTGCTTTGCTTTAGGCCTTGGAATGTGGCCTTGAACATTTTTTCCTGATGTGCAACATATTCTTCATGTTCCAGGTAAGACACTGCTTCCTCTGCAAAGTCTTCTCTGATCCCCATACCCGCCTTCCAAGGCTGGGGGGATGCTCCTTCTAAGTGCTCCCATGGCATCCTGATTTCTCCCATCATGGCACCTACTGCGCCATATTAAAACATGGTTTGTCCATTTATCTCATTGCCCAGTGGACTGCAGGTTCCAGGAAAACATGGCTCTGTCCACTTTTGTCAGAGCTATAATGCCAATGCCTGGCACACAGCAGGTGCTCGATAAACAGCAATCGAATGAGTGAAGATTCTCTAGCCCAGTATGTTTCTCTTTCACCCTTTGTCTCTGCATCCAAGACCAGCCTTTCTCTCAGTGACTTACATTTGCAGTTGACCCTGCGTTTTTTAATCTATTGGTACGTGTGAGAAAGAAAGAGGATTCAGAAATACAAGGTTAATTCAGTTAAATGATGGTACTTTGGACTGTAATACTCTGTCAGGTTGATGGGGGTGGGTAGAACATGCAATGGATGCCGCTTCCAAAACTCTGAAAAGTGGCCCATATGGAACCAAAGGATCAAATAAGAAACACATGACACCATGTGTAATTACATGTGTTCACTGGAGAGGGCAAAGCTGGTACAGGAATGGAAGGGACTTGAAGTAGTGAAGAAGAAAGAAAGAACTAGTTTTTCTTAGTATCTTGCAATCCAAAGTGGGGAATGCCACATCAGATACAGAGACTCTTGGCGGGGGGCACTGCTCTGAGCACTGCTTTTCTGGGGAAAAGGGACATGAAAGCAGCATCAGACTGCTCTAATGTCCTCTTACATTACACATTTCAATAAATACTTATGGAATTCAATGTCAGCTTCTGAGAATGGAAATGTTGGGAAATGAGCCGCCTACTGCTTGAGCTGAGATCACCCAATCTGGAACACATTTCAGCGTAAATCATTCGAGATTAACTTACAGTATACTGGGTCCAACATGCTCTCTAACTTATGGTAGATGAATGCCAATTTAAAAAATTTCCAATAGGAAATGCAAACTATGTCCAAGGCATGATTTATTGAAGGAATTTCATCATTTGTTGTTGGTATTGCTTCATAGGATTGATAAGTACCTTGCTTACTTTATATTAACTTCTTCATGGCAGAAAGTTGCTTTGAGCTCCCACAAAGGCCAGACAGAAGACAGTTCTTGTCCCAGGCACTTTTTTCAGGCATTTCACTTATCTACTGTAATTAGAAGATGTGAGACCTGAATCACAGTATCACATCATTTACATCAGCGATTCTCAGCTGGGGTTGACTTTATTCCTCTCACCCCCACTGAGGGGCATAATAGGCAATGTCTGGAGATACTTTTGGTTGCTACAACTCAGGGATAAGAGGTACTACTGGTACCTAGTCGGTAGAGGCCAAGGATGCTGCTAAACATTCTACAATGGAGGACAGCCTCCAACAGCAAAGAATTAATTGGCCCCAAATGTTAGTAGCATCAAGGTTGAGAAATCCTGATTTATGGAGGAGAAAGAATTTATATCCATATCTTCGAAACAGTATATAACAGCTGTTTCCCTTATATGTGTGATCAACATGCAATTCACAATGCCTTTCTTAGGAGAACAGGCAGGCTAGGTAGAAGGGCACAAATTTAAAAATTGGTATGAAATGCTGATTCTTCCCTAGAAGATTGTTCTTGTGATAGAGAAAAGAATCGAAACCAATGAGAACTCTCATTACAAACTACTCTTTCAACTCCCACAAAACAGAAATGACACATCAGAACCCCACTGAAAACAGGACCTTATATCTAACTCATCTTTCACAATGCACCAAGAAAAAGCATTACCACTGGAATAAACAACCAACACCATATATAGACCTATGAAATAATGAAAGGAAACAAACAGTAATCTCCTTGAAGGCAGCTTATTTTTTGGTTTTGTTTTAGTATCGCATCCTGAGGGTCTAGAACAGTGCTGGTACGCTGTAGGAGCTCAATAAATATTTGTTAAATGATTACAATGCAAAAATCCAAAACTCAGTCAAAATCATTTTGGAGAAATGGAGAAAGAAAAACAGTTTTCTTTTGTAGAAGGGACAGCTCTGTTACCACTGCATACATTTGCAGTTTAGAGTAAGAAATGTTTCTGCACAGGTTTGCTTACTCTCTTCCCTTCGTTGACAAACATAATGAGACCGAAATAAATCAGTCAATGCAGGCTCAAGACATTAAAAGTTAATCACAATGAAAATATTTGTGTAAGAACTTGTGGTCTTCTTCCTCCCACTTGGGGCGGTCAGACTAACCATTTCCTGATGGAAGATTCAGAAGCCGCTCTGTGAGCTGTACCCAACATGACTTCAGGCTCCTTGCCATGAGACAAACTTCTGAGCATTCGAGTTAAAATAAAAACATCCTTTATTACATACGGTTCTGTGGTGTGGCGTTTATGGCCAATGCTGTAGGTCCATTATGAACATATAATGTACTGATATACTTGCCAGAGATCTGTGGGGCACTGGGAAACAAGGAATAATGCCGTTCCAAAAGTGGGACCTTGGAATTACTCTGACGAATAAATCCTACACCAGGAACTCATGGCCATCCTTCTCTGCATGTTGTTGTGCCTAGAGAAACTGATGGACAAGCACTTTGACCAATAAGATCCTGTGACTATGGTCGAGGTGTCTGGATTACAGCCACAAAGCCCCCCTATTCTTCAGTCCTTTGGCGAAACCAAAAGGCTCTTTCTGTTACGCAAGGAAAACCTGATTTACATGAAATTTCCTTAGTCCTGTGGATCTTATGTGTGCCAATAGCATTAAGCCACTCAGGGAAGAGTTGTCAAAGAGAGAATCCGAGGACTGCCACACCTGCACTGTCTGGTGCTGTGCCACGCGTGGCCTCAGAATCCTTCTTCACATAAGCCCTCGAGCGATCAACTGAAGCTGACATAAAAGATGGACGCGATCCCCAATTCTGGGCCTAGGCTGCTTTGATCCAGAATGAGTCTGGCTGAACATACATTCCCTCCACTAACGCCCCAGACCACGGTCCAGCTGCTAGGTGCACATCAAACACAGGTACAACAGATAAGCTCACGCTTCCTTGCACGCCACTCAGTAAAGCAACACCTGTATACTCAGGTTATAATGCTGCAGGACTTCTGAGAAGATTTCAGAGAGCTAGGTACCAAAAAGGGGGAAAGGCCATTGGCAGTCTTCTGCAAAAGCAAATTACCTCCTCCCGAGACACATAAACTTGCAGGCAGAGGAGGGATGGCTGGAGGAAGGCAGGTGAAAGTGACAACAAATAATTTTAATTTCAGCAGTGTGAGCACTTCTATCTCAGAAACCAACCTAGGTGGGTGTGGAGAAGTGAGGGCCCTGAGGCCTAAGTTCCCATCCTTGCTGCTGACAGCAGACTTGGAAGAGTGACAGGTCGAGCCACACTGGCCTGCCCTCTGATGTGGCATGTTTCTTGCTGGTACCATTCACCATCCCTTTAGCTGGTCTCCACTTTACCTGGGTGAAAATCATAATAAAAGTAAAGGAACAAGGAAGGGAACCTAGAAACCAAACACAAGCAACTGAGATGGGGACAGTTGAAAAAGAATTTAAAGCTGAATTGTAGATCGACTGCACAGTCTCATACACTTCTCTGGGAACACGGCAAGAACTGGTGGTTTAATGAGCAACCACCCTTTTCTGGGAAACAGTAACACCATGAGGCAAGAGGGTGAGATGTGCAGAAACACATCAGAAATGACTTGACTTCTGGGGAGAAGAGCCATGGCCGGGGGTTCTCGGTCCTTGTC